CATCTACATAAGATAAATATGGAATATTGAAAAAAAATAGAAATACAAAAAAACAAAAATACTCATTATTAATATAAAATATAATAGTATAATATAAGCTATATTATAATATATGACACAATAATATCTACTTTTAATTAAAATATAAAAACAACAAAAATTAAAAAAGAAAATATTTTGATAAATAATAAATTATCATTCAAACAATTTTCAAGACCAAAAAATAACTAGTAACTTATTTTTTTACTTATCTTCATCTAATAAACATTACTTATTTTTTACTCATCTTCATCTAATAAACATTAATATTAATATCAATTTTAAACATTATTAGAATTTTTTTTTTATCAAAAAATAAAAATATTACATCAGTTACTTTTTGGGCTTTTCTTATTTTACTTAAAACATCAACTCAATTCTAGGCTTTTTTCATAATTGAGTTTTAATTTGTAATGTTGAATTAACACTGAAAAAAAAAAATATTAGCAGACAAAAAGAAAATATTTCTTTATTGAAATATATGTAAATATTTCAATAAAGAAATTTTAGATCGATTTTTATAAATATAAATTTATAGCAATCAGTCTAAATTTTTTTCTTTTCCGCCACCTTTTCGAAATGAAGCGCATTTTTAGAAGTTAGACAAAATGCCATCAATTAAAGTTTCAGTCGCTCCATCGTATTTAATAGAAGCTGTTAATAAAAAAGAATTGATTAATTTGGAGCTACGGGTACTAATGTTTTTATATTGTTGTAATGTTTGTATTCATTCCCTGTTAGTTTCTGTAAGTCAAAATATTAAGGTGTTTCCATAATAAATTCTGTTATATCTGAAATTTAGTGTTAGTCTGAATAATTTAATTTCTAAAATCTGTTTTGCATTGCCTGTCTTATAACATCTTTACTTGGAACAAAAACCATGTGGTTTAAAAGTGAGCTAGAAGCTTTCAACAATGAAGAAAAGATTGCATTCGCTAATCCTAAAAATATATTAAACCTGTCAGCAAAATCAGCTGTCAATAATCCAAGTATTAGCATCATTAAAAATTCATCTTTGCTGCATTACATTTATTTTGGTCCAAGTAGTTAAGGATTTTTTTAAATTTCAAAAAACAGAAGTAAATGTTTTTTTAATATCACTTTATCTTTTTTGATTAATGGTGATACTGCACTAACTGATGAAACACATTGACAGATGTAAGGCCAGTATAAAAGTCGCAAGATCTATTATTTTTAAAATAAATGTTTGTATACAAGTAAATTGCAATAACACGATTTGTTTGGATTATGTTTATATACAAGTTTGTCTGTTTTCATAGTAATAACTGATGTGGTTGAAGTTAATTTTTCAAATAAATTTTTTGAAAAAGCTGTATTATATTTATATTTAATAATATCAGTCTTTGAGCATTGTAGCCCAAGTTAAACGAAAAACATCGATTTTTAAACGATAATGTTCTTTCAGGAAAATCGTCTGAACATGTTTTCGATCTCTTGAAAATTCTATATGATATAAGTTCAGTATTTACATTTTTTTTCCATTATAAATCTCTATAACTTTAATCGTTGAAATAATGTTTACGAATTTACTTCCATTTCTGCGCGCGCATAAATTTTATATCGTTCTTTTTGTCGACAATGATTGAAATAATGACGTTGAAATAACGTTAAATAATCAACGTTTAAACGGTAACGTTGATTTAACGTTGAAATAACGTTAAATAATCAACGTTTAAACGGTAACGTTGATTTAACGTTGTGACATAGTTGAACAACGTTGAAACAACGCTTCAACCGAATTTCAACGTTGAAACAACGTAATAATGCCGGCTGGGTTGTCTGTATATATTTACTAAAAAAACCTTTTAGCATATAAAAAAATGTAAATAGTTGATACCAATGAATAAACTATTTTAATATATAATGTAGGTCTGAGCCTAAATTTATATATTTACAATAAAGCAAATGTTATTGTTGCTATGCAAATTTGGTATCTAAAGCAACAAAACAATTCATAAAAACAATACCTTTACAAATCACATTATCCATTTAATATGTATACCAAAATTTGTTACAATTCTGTTAATGGTTTAAAACAATAATAATTATGTCTCAAATTGACTTTATTATTACCAAGAAACCAGGTTGCTATGAAAATTAGGTTTCCATAACAACCAAACAACAATTACCTTTCTAAAAAGATTTCAAATTATTACACATGCCAAGTTTGGTGAACATAAGACTAATAGGTAAAAAGTTATGAATTTAGTCTCAGAAACCGGTATTCTGACCCACTGTGCATTGATTTTGTTGTATATTTAAATACATAAAGTTTTGTGTAAAATAATAAACTTTTCTGTTTTATTTTGTTATTTTTTCTTTAGTTGCTTTTGCAAAAAAAAAAAAAGTCATAATCTTTTTAAGCATTCAACTATTGTGAATGACATTTTGTTAGATAAAGTTCATGATATTTTAAAACCTATTAAATACTTCCTCAATCAAGTAAATCTTATTAAAATCTTGATTATTTGAAACATTTAAACATTTTGAAATATGTTTAGGCAAAAACTTTAATGGCTCCAGTTAGGGTTGTCAGACGTCCGGCTTTTATGAATGAGAACACGGTAATAAAAAATTATATTTACAGGTTTGGTGCTGTATTCTCCTCCGTATAAGGCGGATGTCTGGCAACCCTAGCTCCAGTACGCTTTTTTTTAAATATTCTATTGAACAATAATCCAAGTAATCGAACGATACAATGATATAAGAAGTTACATAATGTGGAAAACTATAGCTTGCCACATAAACTAATCTTCGAGTATACTCAGAGGCGATTATACGAATAAAATAAAGAAAGAGGGGAGGGGGAGAAATTCTTTAAAAAACCCTGCAATATGAAAGGAAAGGTTGACAAAATAAGATTAAAATACAATTATAAATACAACAATAATACGCGAGGTTTGAATTATTTTGTTTTATCTCCATTTTTTGAAAAACTCGATTTACTGATTGCGTTATATATCTCAAAATAATGTTTTTCTACTACTATATTAAAAACTAAATTTTAATCAAAAAAGTTGCGGAGAAAACATAGGTAAATAAAAATCTTTTCATATACCGTCTCCTAAAGTTTTTGTTTTTTAAATTGTTTTATCTCAAAACTCAAAATGAGGAACAAAATTATTCTCACAAGTTATAAAAATAAAAATAAAAGGCAGATAAAAAATAGCAGCAATATAAGAAACTCTTACAAAGCAGAAAGTATATAGTGAAGTAAAAAGAAGCCAAAACAAAACAGTATTTGTAAATAAAAATTTTCAAATGACGACTTAAAATATTTAACATTTAAGCATTTAACAATCAGGTTAAATGCTATTTGAAGATGCTCTGTTATAAGCCCCTGAGCACTTCTTGGAGCACCTAAATGACTATAAAAAAATTTATATACTAAATAAATGTATATATAAAACACTAATGTATGAATAGACAAAATTTGCTGGAAATCATCAATGATCATAAGAGGTTTCTTATATTGCTACAAGCATAAAATAGACTTTAACATCAGCAAACAAAATTTCGTTTAATTAAGTTACAAGATTTGACTAAACCATAAATATAGTTTGAAAATTAAAGCCAAACTTATATTTATTTTGTTTTTGTTTCTCCACAATTATAAGAAATGTTTTACTTTCTTTTTCCCAATGCTTTTATTAGCTCCTTGTCTCTGTCTGTTAATCTGTCTGTTAACATCAAATCTTGAAATCACCCGATGGAAAATGAGCAAGCTACTAGCAAGCGACTAGCTAGCTTTATAGCGATTATCAAGCGATTTTTTTTTTCTTTTTCTGTTTTTCCTAAAGTCTTAACCATCTTTAAAAATTCGATTTTTGTGTTGAGTCTATTATAATTATGAGGATAACTTGAAACATGAGATGAACTTTAAACATTGCGATTTTGTAGCAATGTGTCGCTAGCTGCAAATCGTAGCTTTGTAGCTAACTACAAATCTATAGCCGGTTGATAACTAAATATCAAAATTTTAGACAGCGATTTTATTACGGTGCGACTTAAGCTACAATAGCCAGTGAGTTTTTAGCCTATTAAGCTAGCTGTCCTTGTAGCCAAATCGGTGTCTTTATCTTTACAAATATCGATAGCTTTTCGCTAACTTAAAAAAGCTAGCTATCCTCGAGGTCATACCGCTGCCTTTATCGTTACGATTATAGCTAGCTTTTCACTAGCCGATTTCCCACCGGGCGATTTTTGAGTCGCTTCCTGATCAGAGATTTTTTTCAAATTTTGCATACATACTCTTGCTTGATGACAATAAGATGATCAATAATTAATTTTGCAATAAGTCAATTAATTTAGTTAATTTTAATTAAGTTTATTTTTTATATGCGATTAGCAAAACTTCATGAAAAATAAATTTAACCGCAATGGCTTAATAAAATGAAATAATAATATCAGAAAAAATTAATTGCAAATTTGTGTTTTAATAACATATAAAAGCGTTGGATTTTAAAAATTCGTTTTTAATTTTACTTGTTGATAACCAGCTTTGAATTCAAAGACAATTTTCATGAAATTGAAATTCAAAGACATATTTCATGAAGACAATTTTTTCATCAAGACAATTTTCATGAAATTGAATTCAAAGACAAATTTCATGAAATTTGTCAATATTTAGACATTTAATATCATAGTTTTTTAGTTTAGTTAAAAATAAAACGCAGCAATCAACAGTATGAAAAAAATTGCTTAAACAAGGGCAAATACATAGGAGGGGGAGAAAGGGGGTGATCAATAGTGTCAAAAGAATTGCTTGGATCAATTAATACTTTAAATATATTTATTTTCACCTTGAAACTTCATTCTATTTTCATCTTAAATTTTTATCTAATTATTTTTAAAAAATAATACCAATAAGTTTATTAACTGATTGGTAGAATTTTAATTTATTTAAAAAAATTATGTTACATCTAAAAAAGAATATGATCTTAACGTGTTTTGATATATTTTTTTTTAACGAGTAAAAGTGCGGCTTTTGCGCAGTGGTTTGAGCGCTTGCTTTAGAAGCAAAATATCCAGGGTTTGAAGCAAGCTCTGTGCATATTTCGCCACATTGCTAAAGAAGGAGGCGTGAACTTTCTAATTAAAGGCTTTTTTGTGGTGCTCTTGACAAGACCGGTAAATTGTCTTGAGGCAACTAGAAAAAAAATTAAAAAATAAATAAATAAAATTTAGTATTACTTATAAGTATATATTTTTATACAATTTAATTTTAACATTTATATTTTGGCACTTATCTAACAAGTAAAAAAAAAGACATTCGACTCGACTAACACTCGATTGCGTCAATAGCTTCATGTACGCGTGTACTTGTAGACAAAAAACTTTTTAGTTATTTGCCACAAACAAAATACTAGAACGGTTAATATTGGTACGTTTCGTGACGTCAAAAAATTAGTTGCCATTCAAAAATATTGATTTTGTCTAAACTATGCAATCTAATGATTAAAACTGTACAGTCTAATCACGAAATTTTAAATAATTTAAATTTGTGTTAAAAACTAAAGGATACTTGCACATATACAATACCAAAACTCAAAATTGATGATGAAATAATGCGAAAGATTAAAACTGCCAGAAGCAAAAAAAACTAACTTTGAAATTTGAATAAATAAAATTGATTTTACCTCAATAAAATGGTTTTTAATCAAGAGTAATTTTTACTTCAGTAAAAAGTTGTTTTTATTACTAAAATTGTTCTGAAAAATTAGAAAACAAACAACAATTTCTATTCTGGAACAAAAACCTAAAAAGAAAGGTTGTAAATCTTTTTATTAAATTAAAACATCTTTATATGACTTTTGCATTCAGAGTCGTAAAAATATTTTTGAAATTCAGAAACTTTATGATACGCAACCTCGTTCTGATTAAATAAAATCAACAAAGTATTAAAATAATATTATTATAAATATATTTATTTTTAAAAATAATAAATATATTTATCTTAAGGCATTTCATCACGTTACGTTGTATAAACAAAAACTAAACAAACAAAATTTTTTCTTAAATAAAATGGTTATCTTCCAAAATACAGCTCTCGTTATGTACTAGGCATTTGAAACTAATAATATTTTTAAAAAACAGATTTATTATTTAAAACTTGTTTGTTTAGGTAATTTACCAATTATATGTAACTTTTACTTTAAAAAAAAATAAAGATAAATTTTTATATGTAGTAAAAAACGCAATTTTCGGGACAAATTTTCTGCGCGATGTCTATTACTGAACTTAAAATGCTTGCAGTGGTTTGAATGCAATTGTTTGATTAATTTCTTATAAGGTAAACTAACGATAAGAGGGATTATAATCACAGCCAACTATTCAACTCGATAATTCTTATGTATTTTGACTTGATCGTTTGTAATTTATGTCTGAATATTTATAATTAAATTAATATTTTATTAATAATTAAATTAATATTTAATTTGTAATCAAAATCTTCTGTTGACATTGTTGAGGCGTCGAAGAACCGTTAAACTAAAAACTTTTGAACTGCATTAAATTTTTTTTGTTTTTTTGTTTAATTGTTTGTATATTTTGTTAATAACAAACAAAAAATAAATCATAAAGAGTAAACAACTGAGTACTAAACAAGCAAAGTATAAGGTAATTATTGACGTCATTCCTTTTATTAAGAAATATAACAATTTTATATTAAACAAAACCTTTCGTTGTATTGTTTAAAATGCAAAATATAAAAATACATTTATTTATATTTATGTTTCTGAGTTTATTGCTATATTCCATGCTGAATGAAAAAAAAAGCAGGAAATCTTATGAGTTTATTTCACTTGCAACATTAAATGTTAATAAGTTGTCACTTCTGTGGTATTTATGATAAACGGAATCTTTATCAGAATCCCGATCAGATAGTAGTAACTTCTGTGATATTTATGATAAACGAAACCGTAATCAGAATCCCAATCAGATGTTTTTTGAGTTAAATAATTTTTTTAATATTTAGGATATTGAAAGAAATTCGTTTCTTAGAAAAAGCAATAAAAATGCCGTATTCAGGTACACAATTTTTGTAAAATCTTGTATTTTTTATGTACTAATACTCGGAAAATTTTCATCATTTGTTTTACTTTGTTGTTACTTTACGAAAAACTTGCAATACCGCTTTATTTATTAACTTTTGGTTTGATTTATAACAAAACATCGGGTTTAACATGGTACTTATAATTTTTTAATTGTTTTTTATTTATTGTTACGTATTAAAAAAAAAAAGCGGTAGCTAAAGATGTTTCCTTAAGGTTATGATTATTTGTTAGACGGAATTTCCGCTGATGAATCGACTTTAAGAGTTAGTACCGTTATTTTATTGATAGTATTTAAAGTGCACTCAATTGATTAACAATACATTTTTGACGGTTTTGTGCAATAGTACACAAAATTTAATGATTTCATTTTACAAAAAGATAAATGTCCTAGGTATATATATATATATATATATATATATATATATATATATATATATATATATATATATATATATATATATATATATATATATATATATATATATATATATATATATATATATATATATATATATATATATATATATATATATATATATATATATATATATATATATATATATATATACATATATATATATATATATATATATATATATATATATATATATATATATATATATATATATATATATATATATATATATATATATATATATATATATATATATACCTATAGTGATTTAAGATTGTCACGTTATATCATTCAAATTGAACTAGGCGTGTTATTGTTTTCTTTATTTATGTTCAAAGATTTAATTGTTTAAATACTTATAATTTAATTGCTCTTATCATGCAGTTGTTAAAAAATATTTTCAATTATAATTTTATTGAAAAGTTAAGTCCGTTATTATTTGAAATGATAAGTGAAATGATATTAAGGAATATTCAAAGCTGCGATAAAAAAGGAAACTTTTAAACAAAAGAAAGAAAGGAAAAAGAATTTAGTATAATAGGCTAACCGATCATAGTAAATGCAGCATTTTTTTGATGTTTGAGACCAACTTCAAGACATAAAGCGAACTCAAATTTATATGTTTATACTCATGTCAAATAAGGATACTTTGCAAAGAATCGCAATGATTTTTACCTGGGAACAAAATGTCTTTAAATTTAAATTACACCTACCCTAAACGTAGAGCAATAAATAGTTAAAATAAATTTTTTACTGTTCCCAACCAAATTTATAATCATCGATAAATTTTACATTTCATTAAATTATCTCTTAACGTTCAAAAATTCTGAAATGTTTATACATGTGGTCAAAGTTTTGTTAATTGTAGCATGTTAAACTTTTGTTGATTGTAGCATCTTAAAATTTTTTCGTTTCTAGCATTTTAAATACAAAATTAATTAAACTATTTTTTCAAGCTTTCACATGTGCTAAAAAATTTGCAAAAAGAAAGCTTTGTAAAATGCCATAAGTCTTCAATTCTACGTAAACATTAATTGTTAACTGTTATAATCTGGTACCTACTATATTAGAGTTATCCTGTAATGTCTTCCTATAATGTATGTAATAAATTTCATTTTCTAGGCCAAAATCTTTTGTTTGAA